TTTAGGGTTTAGGCGTTTAGGATTCAGTATTTAGGGTAGTTCTCTTCAACCCTAAACCTAAAAACCATGGAATTTAAAAGGACTCCAATAAAACGTAGGCTTTGGGTAAGTTGAGGGACGCAAACTGGGGAGCGGAGCGTCATCGTCAGGGGCCACCGGTCAGTAACTCTCAGAAAGGCTCCGGTTTAGTTTAGGGTTTAGGGCTTAAGGGTTTCGGGTTTAGGGCTTTGGGTTTAGGGTTTACGTTTAGGGTTTTGGGTTTAGGGTTCCTGAACCCTAAACCTAACCCTTGACAACCCGAAACGTTAAACACTAAAACCCCCCACAGAACCCAAAGCGTAGCTGCTGCTGGTACCTTCAGAGGGTGGCTCCGAATGTTCCCGGGCTATTTTCTAGCCAGGTGTCTGAATCTTGGCAGCGACAAACGGCATCAGCATCCCTCAGTTGGATGTAGCCAGATCATTGGGGACCAAATGGCCCTTATAAGTAGCGGCCCTGTACCCTTATACTATGAATCCCTATATGGTATATGAGCCTGAAACCCTTTTGGGGTTCATTTCGTCTTTAAATGAATCCCCTAACACCGTTGGCAAAGAATCCAGATCCAGTGCCGCAGCTCAGGCGAGCTAAAGTTGTTCGTCTGCACTCCTGGCTGTGCCATGTATGCCTCCAGTTCTGGTCCTGAGTCTTGCACCCTAAACCCTAAACCTTCAACCCTAAACCCTAAACCCTCAACCCTAAACCCTCAACCCTAAACCCTCAACCCTAAACCCCAAACCACGGTCCACCCGTGGCAACCGAAAGTGCCCGCGGCGTTCCCAAGCGGTGGGGTGCCGGCTAGAAAATTACGCGGATAGAGTTATGGAGTTTAGGGATATGGAGTTTAGGGTTTAGGGAGTTTAGGATTTAGGGTTTAGGGTTTGGGGAGTTTAGGGTTATGAGATGTTCTTAGGTTTCGGGTTCGGTTGCCATGTGTTTTGCTTGAGGTTGCCTTATACTTGCATCCTCAGTTGTCCAGATTGCTGCGGGGCCGTAAACCCCATATCCTGAACCGAAATCCGCAAGCCCCGGTAAAGCCAACGCCATAAACTGTACTTCTATGGCCGCTGTGCTATCAAGGGCATGTTGGAAAAGAAGGGACCTCCATGTAGAATCTAAGTGCTACAGCACCGCAAAGAAGGCACCTTGAACGCCTGACTTTCAGAACGCCCCTATAAAAATATCCAAATAATCCCCGATTCAAAGCCATCTAAACCTTACTGGTAGCACTTTAACCTTTACAATCTTGCAAAAAATATATGAAGCCCAATATTAAAAAAAAGAAAGCATGCTACTTCCAAAACCCAAAACCTCAATCCCAGAGAGCCCAATACCCCTTAATTAAGGAATATACCTTAAACCATAATATTAAGGGCCCCTATACTTTAAGGTATATATTCCTTATTTAAGGGGTATATTGGGCGAAGGTATATATATATATACACATACACCTTAAATCATAAGATTAAGGCCCCTATAATTTAAGGTATAATTCCCTAATCTAAGGGGTAAGCTCTCTGGGGGATGTTCCAAAAATAACTCTGAGATCCCTCGCCTGCGTGTCCTCGCGCGTGCTCGCTTTGAGCCTGGGCAGAGGCTGAATGCTCTACCCCTGAGCCCCGAAATGGTTCCTTTTTTATGGTTCATGTTTAGGATCCTATAAGGTGATCCCAACAAACAAACCCTGAACCAACCCCTAAACCTCTAATTCCCAAACCATCCGAAAAAAAAAGGAACTACTTAGGGGCCTAGGGGTATCGTAACCTGACTAAGAAACCTTCGGTCATCTTGGGTCTTTAGTAGGGCTCTTTAGGATGGATCCTAATGGTTTGGGGGTTTATTACAGGACCAGGGTTTTCTTTAAGAAGGTTACATAGGTTTTGGTATACATTGTGGGGGCTAATTATAGGACCAGGGTTTCTTAAGAAGGTTACATAGGGTTTCGGTTTGGGGCTGCGATGAATCCGGCTGTCGATGGTTATGTTCACCGAGGTCCCGGCAGATGCGCCGGCGGCGGGCCCTTCGGCGGAACAGGCCGCGCCTTCGAACGAACTTGGCCTGTCAAAGCGGATGGTTTCTTGGAGTTGGAGATCCTCGTCACATTACCACCCTGCAGCTCCGCTCAGAACCGAAGGTAAAAGTTTGTAAGTTGTACATTTCGATGTGTGCTTAGTTAGCAGTGGATGTATGTTTGCATGTGTGAATATCTATATCTGCGGTGACAGCAGCTATGTGTAAGGATATATAAACTCGCAAATCTGTATGTCTTCGTTCTTGAAGTATCCTCAAACCCTGAACAAAACCAATGACGAGGGTCTGAACACTTAGAAAAGGGTTGGTGTGTATTCTATAGTAACTTACAGAAACGACCATAAAGGGGATAAGACTACCTATTCATACTGCTGAATTAGACCCTACCTATAGTCTCCATTGCAGTTCCTTTTTGGGGATACCTTATAAACTCCTTAAGATATAATTGGAGACTACAGGTAACAACTTAGGGGCTGAGTTCCCTAACAACTTAGGGGCTGAGCTCCCTAACAACTTAGGGGCTGAGTTCCCTAACAACTTAGGGGCTGAGTTCCCTAACAACTTAAGGGCTGAGTTCCCTAGCCCAAAAGATGTTAACCTTTTGAAATAGAGTCGGATTATATAAGCCCCCAAAAGGCTAAAGGCTACCTACTCAAACCCCTAATCCGAAGAAAAGCATGCTAAACACCTAAAACCCTAAAAACCCTAAAGCCCTAAAACCCTACAGCCCTAAACCCTAAACCCTAAAGCCCTAAAAGCCTACACCCTAAAGCCCTATAGCCCTAAACCCTTTTGCATCCAGGACTCTGTTCGCCAGCCGAATTTGTAATCTTACCTTTTGAATGTAGCCCTAAACCCTAAAGCCCTAAACCCTAGAACCCTAAGAGCCTAAACCCTAAAGCCCTAAACCCCTAACCCCTAAACCCCTATAGATCCCTTTAAGGGAACCCTTATAGCACCCTTGAAAGGAACCCTTAAAACCAATTGGACCAGCCTTTGGCAGGCGAAGTCGGCAGAGAGGGCTGGGAAGACCTGGACGTGCACGGCGCTCAGAGGCTCGTTGTGCTCTGGAGTCGTACTGGTCTGAATACTTAAAGCTAATGTCACAGTTTACTATGTATAATATAAATAAATAAATATAAATATCAATATAAATATAAATGTAAATATAAATATAAATATATATATATACATACATAGAGGTTTGTGTGTATATGTATTTACATATACACATACATATACACCCCTCTCTCTCAGCATGGGTGTATATGTATATGCATACACACACACACCCCTCTCTCTCTCTCTCTCCCTCTCTCTCTCTATATATATATATATGTATGTGCATATATGTATATATATATATATGTCACATGATGGTTAAAGACATACCCCAAAACACATACCTCAAAAACCCGGTCCGAACTCTCAAAGAACTAGGGCTTTTGTTATTGTGTGGCCTCGGGCTTTTGGCTGAAGCTGAAGGTGTGGATATGATCGGACGACACGGAAGGGTTGTAGCAGCTGCAATAAAGCATGTGCTTGTGGCCTGGCTCAGGGTTTGATGAGTTTTGGGGTTAGGGCTCAAAGGGTTAGGGTTTAGGGTTCAAGGGGTTAGAGTTTAGGGTTCAAGGATTATGGGTTTCGAGTGGGGAGTACTAGATGCAGTGGCGGCTGGCGGGCTTTTGCTTTTTGCAATGCTCCGAGAGGTTGAGGTGCCCAGCGCCGTTTGACGAAGCAGACCTCTGAAATGGACAGTCGGATGCAGACATTGAACCAGACCGTCCGGTGTTGAAGGAACCGCTGTATCGATCCCGTCAAGACCTCGATAAGCGAAACCCAGCACTTTTTGCCGCGGCATTCACTTCTCAGGCTCCTCGTTTGGGATGAGGATGCCTGCGTTGAAGTCGACGACCATCTTATTGATCTTCTGCAGGTGGTCTTTCAGGTTGATGGCCGACCTTGCCACACTTCAGGGTTTAGGGTTTCAGCCCACCGAAAATGCGTATCGACAAGTAAGGCCCTCCACCCTATAACAAGTATGTCTGCAGGCCCGAAATCCTGAACCTTTCCCCGCCCCCCCCCCACCCCTCCACTGTTCTTGTTTCTCTCAACAGCTTGGACAACCCTGGCTACATGTCGATGGATCCTGGGGTGCCCAGGCAGCAGTCTGAGATCATCAAGGTCCGCTGCCGCACAAAGACAGCCACGGTTCCAAGGCTTTTGAGTCTTACGGCAGCCCTGTAGTCTCCATTGTAGTTCCTTTTTTTGGTTTAACCAATTATATCTTAAGGATTTTTTAAGGTATCCCCAAAAAGGAACTACAATGGAGACTATAGAGCTTCTGGCGTTTATGGACTTCCAAGTTTCAAGATGTCCAAGCTGTCGCGTTCTGTTAGGGTTTAAGATCTCAGGGTGTTGGAACACTCCCAACCCGAAACGTTGGCACAGCGGCTTTCTGATTTTAATAGGGCTTTGGAGAATATGCCACTATAACTAGAGCTGGAAGGCTTCTAAACGTTTCTTGTCATACCCATAAGATAGGTTGTCAAAACCAAAGGTGTTACATTCCAGTGCCTCGGTCCTAAACCCCCAACCGTAAACCCTAAACCCGACATACCCAAACGATAAAGCCTAAACTTGCAAAAGGCTCAACCCGGGGCTTTTGGAGTGGCTAGCGGCTTGTCGGCTGTATGGATGTTTGTGATGATTTCGAAGACGCTCCTCCAAAGGCGACCCGAAGGAATGGGATTTAGGGTTTAGGGTTTAGGGCATAGCGTTAAGGGTTCTAGGGTTTTTGGGTTTGTGGTTGTAAGGTCTAATGAATCCTAGTTGAAAGCCCCCCTGAAACCCCAAAGAAACCAAACCCCCAGAGGCCTAATGAAGCCCTCTTGGGGCTACAGTAGAGTATGGTAAACAGGTTGTAAAGTAGAGTATAGCATAACATACGGTTGATGATATAAACCCTGCATTACCCCTAATAAGGAGTATACCATAATTCCCATAGTTTAGAACCCTTAAGGTAATGCAGGATTTATAAATTATATCATCGACAGTGGTATAGTATAGCTTTTTTAGACCAAGTGGGTTATGAAGACCCCCCGGTATCGAAACCCTACTTGACCCTAAACCATAAACCCTAAAGGCCCTAATTAAACCCAAAACCTTTAACCCTAAACCCACCGCCCTAAACCCTAAACCCTAAACCGGGCCCTACTTACTCGGCCTGAATCGCTCCTCCAGGGCCTGAAAACCCTAAACACTCCACTGGTCTGCCGAAGCTCATCTAAACCCCTCGGCCCCAAAATCCTAAACCCTAAACCACCTAGGGTTTAGGGTTTAGGGTTTGCGGCTTAGAGTTTAGGGTTTAGGGTTTACGCTCCTCCAAAGCTCATCAGCCTTGCCGATGTGGTCACCTGGCATAACCGGCTCGGTTGTCGCAGGATCGGCCTGCACGAGGGACTTCTTCTTCTGCCTGGGACTATACGGGATCCATAGGATTTATGGGATCTTCAGGAATCTATAGGGTTTCAGTTTCATAAGATACCTATAGCCCCGGAGTTCAAGGAGTGAGTTGAGGCTTTTTAGGATTTAGGATTATTTCGGGTGGTTCCCGCAAGCCGGTTGTGGATTGTGCTGTCAGCTTTCAGGGGTTGGGGTCGCGTTAGGGCTTCTAGGAGTGTTGGGTTTTTGGACCTACCCTGCATCGGTGGCAGGGTTTGGGGTTTAGGGTTTGGAAGCTAGGAAAAAAGGTTCAGGAGTCAGGGCTTGAGCTGAGGGTTTGGGGTTTAGGGCTTAGGCTTTGTAAAGTTGAGGCTACCCATAGGCCCCTAAGTAGTTCCTTTTTGAGGATTATATTTAGAATCCTATAAGGTAATCCCAACAAGGAACTACTTAGGGGCCTATGGGTAACTGCCAGGAATCATCTCTCACTGGTTGAGAGTTCGGGGGCCTGACAGCCCTAAACGCCTGCTTAAAACAATGGGTCCGACTGAGTACTAACAGTCTCCCCTTAAACGAACACGGCCCCTTACTAAACTCTAAACCCTAAAACGTAAACCCTAAACCCTATAACCCTTAACCGTAAAGGCCGTAAACCCTAAACCCTTAACCCTAAAGCCTAAACCCTAAAAGCTTAGCCCTGAACCCTAAACCCTTAACCCCTAAACCCTTATCCCTAAAGGCCCTAGACCCTTAACCCTAAACCCTTAACCCTAAAACCTTATCCCTAAAGGCTCTAAAGCCTTAGCCCTAAACCCTTACCTTTCCCCTAAGGCCCGGGGGGCTTTTCCAGAGATTTCGGGCTCCGGGTCTCGAAACTCTAGGTGCTCGGAGAGGGTTTAGGGTTTAGGGGTTTAGGGGTTTAGGGTTTAGGGTTTGGGGTTTAGAGTTTAGGGCTTTGGGTTTAGGAGAGAGAGAGGAAGAAGAGGTGCCGACTGGTTCCCCTGGACCAAATATAAGAAAACCCAGAGAGCCCAACTAACCCCTTCATTAAGGAATTATAGACCTTAAATCCTAATATGAAGGCCCCTATAATTTCAGGTATATTCCCTTGTTTAAGGGGTATTCGTCTCTTTTGCACTATGTAAGTAAAGTTCGATGAAACCGGCCTATGGGGCTTAGTAAACCCTTGAGCCAAGCTGCATCTTCAGCGGAACCGGGTTCTTGCTCATCAGCGTGCCGCAAGCAGCCACCTTCGCGCCGTTGGGGTTCAGCTTCCTGAAGACCGCGCCCATCTCTTGGTCCAGGTAGCCTCGGAAAAGGGTTTAGGGTTTAGGATTTAGGGTTTACAGCTACCCATAGGCTCCTAGGTAGTTCCTTTTTGTGGTTCATCTTTAGAATCCTAGAAGGTAATCCCAAAAAGGAACTACTAAGGACCCTGTGGGTAGTTCAAGGTTTAGCAGGGCGTTCGAAGAGCTTTATAGGAAAGTGTCCTTCTTACATACGAAGTTTGCAGGGTCGAGCTTTTGAGGTTGATGGGAGTGAGTATGGGGGCCTTAGGACTTACAACAGGGAGTTGGGGGTATGTTATAGGTTAGTTATATCGTGGCCGGCACTGCTCATCATGCAGACATCTCCATGTTCTTGCGAAAAAGAACCAGAACTCTGTCTCAACCACTTCCTACACCCATGCATCCCCCAGTCATACTTTCTGGCAAGTGTCTGAGCCACTTCCTTACGTGAGTCTCTCTCGGCTGATTGTCGCCTTGAGCGCGGTCTCGCGACGTGTCCGCCTCTGAGTTGCTGAGTTCATATAGGCCAAAAAAGCGCACACTTTCAGTTTTATAAGGGATCATAGTATCCCAAAAAGGTTTAAAGTGTAGTAATTCTGCTACGAAGGCCTCTTCCACAAGTGCAACGTAATCTGCGACCTTCAGCCCTGAGTCGTGCTCGACCTGCAGGTTTTTAGGGCTTTATGAGGCGGTTTTACTTGTTTGGGACTTAGGGTTTATAAGGCTTTATAGAGTTTAATTAGGGATATTGGACCGGTGTTAGGGCTTTATAAAGTTTTTAATTGTTTGGGACCTGGGGTTTAGGGCTTTATACGGGCTAATTAGGGGTATTGGACTTCGGGTCTAGGCTTTACTGCTGAAGGTTGCTAGAAGAGAGGTTAAGGGTTTAGGCAGACAAATAATCAGCTTGACACGGCGGCGCATCCCGAGGGTGCTATATCTGGGTAGTTCTCTAGATCAGGGTCCCTTTTAGCATCCACTTTATAAGGGTGCCGTACTAGTTTGGGGACCGAATTTGGAGAACTACCCAAATATGTTCGCAACATCCTCCTTCGCAACGTAAACCCTAAAGCCCAGATGGATCCCTTTCAATTCAACGGATCCTGAACCCTGCGAAGATCCCTAAATCCTAGTTTAGGGTTTCGGGTTTAGGGGTTTAGGGTTTAGGCGTTTCGGGTTTCTGGGTTAGGGTTTAGGGCTTAGGGCCTAAAACCCTTGAAAGGAGCCCAAGAAAAGACCACCTGCTGGACCAATTCCTGGACTTCCTTCTCGAGATCGACACTCCGGTTCCAAAGAGCTAAGATCGCCTTCTGCTGAACGCTAATGTTGAGCATCAGGCTCCTGCTTCTTCGAGGTTTATAAGGCTCCTTCTGTTTTTGTTCAGGTTCAGGGTTTAATGTTGAGCATCAGGCTCCTGCTACTTCGTTTTAGGGTTCAGGGTTTTATGTTCCTTCTGCCATTTTTAAGGTTTAGGGGCGTAATGTTGAGCATGAGGCTCCTGCTTCTTCTTCTTTGGGCTTTAGGGTTCAGGGTTTAATGTTGAGCATCACGCTCCTTCTGGCATTTTTAAGGTTTAGGGCCGTAATGTTGAGCATCAGGCTCCTGCTGCTTCTTCTTTGGGGCTTAGGGCTTTAATGTTAAGCATCAGGCTCCTTCTGCTTCTTGCCAGGGTTTGGGTTTAATGTTGAGCATAAGGTTCCTTCTGCTTTTTTTCGGGTTCAGGGTTTAATATTGAGCATCACGCTCCTTCTGGCATTTTTAGGGTTTAAAGCCGTGATGTTGAGCATCAGGCTCCTGCTGCTTCGTTTTGGGGTTTAGGGTTTGATGTTGAGCATCGAGCTTCTTCTGCTTGTTTTTTTTGCGGTCTCGGGTTTTGATGCTGTTCTACTTCGTTTTAAGGTTTCAATGATGAGCATCAGGCTCCTTCTGCTTGCTTTTTGGAGTATAGGGTGTTAGTGTTGCACATCAGGCTCCTTCTGCATATATTGGGTTCATGTTGAGCATCGAGCGCCTTCTGCTTCTTTAGCTCCATTTTGCTTGCTGTTAGATGTCTTGTCTTGAGCTCCTTCTCTGCGTAGCTTTTAGGGTTTAGGGCTTAGCGTCTAATGTTGAGCATCGGCCTCCTTATGCTTTTTGTTGTTACGGTTTAGGCTTGGGGTTTTGATGGCTTTTTTTCAGCCGTGCCTCGCCTAAGGCTCCTACTTCTTGGGGCACAGGGACATGGAGCATCAGGTTTCTGAGTACTAGGGTTGATGATATAAATCCTGCATTACCCATAATAAGGAATGTACCATAATTCCCATAGTTTAGGGTCCTTAAGGTAGTGCAGGATGTGCAACAGTAGGGAGGTTTTTTTTTATGAGGCTTGTTAAGGAGATTTTGGAGGCGACATAAGCTAAGGTTTCGGGGGCTGCAAAGAGGCGACATGTAGACTCAGGGCTTTCGGGTTTAGGGTTTAGGGTTTAGGTTTGCGGTTTAGGGATTGTTGAGCATCAGGCTCCTCAGCAAGTATCAGGTTTCACAGAGGTTTTTATGAGCTTTTCTTCCGGGTCATATACGGTGCTACATGGATTGATGGAGGCTTCCAGGTTTCGGGGTCATACACCCCCCAAGGTTCCTGAAGTGTACCTACTCAACTTGGCTACCAAGGCTCCTGTAGTTGTCGACGGAGATGTCTGCGCCCGGGTTGCGTCCGTAGTAGTTGGTGTGCCATTCCTTGCTCCCAAGGGTTATCAAGGGCTAACCGCAGCTAACCTGTCACAACAATACCAACACTATAAGCACACTTAGACCCTAGACCCCTACATAAAGTCTAAAACCCCAAACCCTACGCCGGAAACCCCAAAGCACTAGATTGCTGGACCCTCAAGGAAACCAAACAAGTTTAAAGCTCGGCAAGCTACGGAAAAAACAACTTACAAGCCTTATGATAAGACTTGTAACCATTTTTTGACAGGACTTAGGAAGAAGGGTTAAACCTAAGGTACTTATTGTTTTCTTTCAGGGTTCCTACAAAGGTTTTGGGACTTCGACTGTGGTTAGAGTTTAGAGGATCAAAAGACATGGTAGGTAAATTCATAAACAACATATCGCTAGTTCTAGCTACTTATCGCCCAAAATAAGTTACTTACAACGAAGTGGACTAACCATTTTAGTAAACCCTATAAGCACCAAAAACATATAAAGCAGCAGAGCACTTTATACACTCACTGAGTCACCATGCAATCCTATCAACACCCCTTCAACGGAATCACTTACAGCACGTATGCAACCCTTTCAAGCCCTGGAAAACCTATCTGAAAAGCGCAAGACAGATACCAAACTCCCACAACCCTAAAACCCCATGCCCTAACACCCCTAAACCCTAAATCTCAAACCCGAAACCAAAAAAACCCAATGCCCCAAAACCCCTTAACCCTAAATCTCAATCCCCTCACGACCCAGAGATGCCCTTTTGGCTTGGAGAGGAAAGCGGCCATCAGCTCTTCCTCTGAAGCGTCCAAGGACAGCAGCGCGGCGTCCGGCTCCACGATGTCCTACTGAGGTTAGGGCTCTAGGGTTTTAGGGTTTAGAGTTTTAGGGTTTAGGGTTTTAGGAATTAGGGTTAAGGGTTAAGGGCTTAAATAGGAGTCATACTGAGGAGAGCTCTGCCAAGGCCGAGGATTTTAGGATAGATCTCCCTAAACCCTATAGACCCTAAACCGTGATTGCTTTGGGCTGAAGGTTTCCAAGGGCGGCGTGCTCTCTTTTTTTCGAAGTGGGTTGTAAAGAAGTTTTGTAGCATGTTATGAGCTACAGGGTGTCCTACTTGTGTTCCGGAAGGATCCTTGCAGAGTTCTACGGCTCATAGGACCGGTAAGGGTTTAGGGCTTAGGGTAGTATAAGGGTACTGTGACAGGGTTCCTTT